ATTCTACAAGACAATATGACTAAAATGCAATTAAGATTTGTATTTAACCTATCCATATGTGTCTCCTGTAATTTCTCTTTAATGACAGTTAATTCTTTCTCAGCTTCAGCTGTTAATTACCTGGGACTATTTTAGTCTTTGTCACTGTCTACAATTTTGTTTAAATGGATGAATAGATCAGGTGTTAACCCATCAACCAGTCGTAGACTGGAAATGTCTCATAACAATCTTTGAAAGTTATTAAGGGTCTGCAGTCAGTCTCTCCTAATCTGTGCCTTTTGTGTTCTAATTTTCTGTAAACCTATTTTAAAACCTAGGTAATTGATAGAGTCTCCTCTTTGTATTTTTTTCAGGAGCAGTTTGTACTTCCCATTTAGTCATAACTTTCTTTACTTCTTCAAGCATTCTTTCTAAAGTATCTACATTTGAATCATATAGCAAAATGTCATCCATGTAATAGTAAATTATAGGTTTAGGAAATTGTTTACATATTATTTTCAATGGCTGACTTACAAAGTATTGGCACAGGGTGGGGCTATTGAGGATTCCTTGTAGGGGGGGCAGTCTATTGTTATCTCCTAGTAGGCTGATAATTATTATAAGTAGCACCGTGAATGCAAATTTTTCTCTGTTCTTTTCTTGTAAAGATATAGTGAAGAAACAATCTTTTAAATAAATAACTGCAAGAAGCCATTTTTTTTGGTAATAGAGAAGGCAGAGAAATTTAAGATTTTAGAGGGCTTATAGATTGAATTACCTTTTTGACAGCTCTTAGATCTGTCACTATTCTCCATTTCTCAGATTTCTTTTTAACAATAAATACAGTAGAATTCCAAGAGCTATTTTTTCTTCAACATGGTGAGAATCTAGTTGCTTCTGTATCAGCTCTTCTCAAGCCTGCAGTTTGTCTTTTGTTAACGGCCACTGTTTAACTAATATTGGTTTTTTCAGTTAGCCATTTTAAAGGTAAGACTATTGGTACCTCTAAAGGTTTGCTAGTTGCTTTGTTTTCTTGTGTAGCCAGAATGACTTTGTATATAGTAGCTTATAAAATCCTTCCCAGAAACAAGCATTTTTTGGGACTGCAGGAATGTTAATTTGGGTATTCTATTGCTGCAGCAGGTCATTACCCCATAAATTCACTATGATATTAACCGCATATGCCCTTCGCCTTCTTTTCTGTCCTTCTGACCCTATGCATTCAAGCCATCCCATGCTTTGTTTCACTTGAGATAGGGTTCCAATTCCTAGGACTTGAACATCTGTCTCTTGAAGAGGCCAATTCACATGCCAAGATTCTGAAATATTGATACTCATATCTGCACCTGTGTCTAGTCATCCCTCAATTACAGTATTATTTATATGCACTCTTAGCTTTGGACTTTAACATTTATAGAAGTCAGCCAAAGTAAATGCTTCCTATTTCCTATTGGATTTTTTATTCATCCTCCATGTTTATTCCATCATCCAGAACAGTATAGTTTTTTTTTTTATTTTTACACCTGGCAATTTTTTTTTAATTTTCCTGATGAGACATTTCCTCCACAGTGACTGGGAATGACTGGACCACATTTGACTTGGGGGTCTGTGAGATGTCCCCCAAGGAATTTCCCAATGGTATTGAGTTGCCCTGTCTGTTTGTTGTTTATCTGCATTCATTGGCCCAATTTTGACCTTTGCCACACCTCCTACATAATCCAGAATCTTGATACCTTCTATTTTTGCCATTCTCAGAGGACACATCATTCCTAGGAATCCCATGTCTACAGTGCTTTCTCAGATGTCCTATTATGCCACAGTTAAAACATTCGACATTTTGGTGTCTCCTCACATCTTTGGAAATTGCTTCTCCTACCTAAACTTCAGTGTTATACTCAAAAGTCTCAATGTTCATTGTATGGAGGATCCATTCATTTATTGGCACTGATCTAACATTTAAAGTCCCAAGTATCTTTTTGAATTTTAAGTTAGCTTTTTCAAAAGCCAGATATTCTATAAGTACTTGTCTAACTTCTGGGTCTGCTACTCCTATTTGTACGGCCTTGGTTAATTTTTGTAAAAAGTTACTAAAGTGTTCTCTCCAGTCCTATTTAACCCTGATATAATATTCAATTATTTTCCTAGCTCTTGAATTCTGTCCCAAGCATTTAAGGTTGCTGTGTGGCATAGGGACAAGGTATTTTTATCATAAAGGGCTTGATCTTTTGGTCAAAATAAGTGCCCTCTCCGAGAATTTGATCTTCAGAAGTATCAAGCTCTTTTGCTTTTCCCTGTTGTTCTCATTTTTTTTGCCTCTTATCACAAATAGTGTTTCCATAGTAGTTATGGCCCATCTGCCAGGACTGCTGAAACCAAATGAATACAATTGTGTGAAGCCTTATTGCTGGAAGCCCATGTCTTTACCATCTCCCTAACAAATGGTGAATGCAAGTCATAAGATATTACTGCTTGCTTAATTTCTTTTGGATCATTCATACCTATAGGTATCCATATACATTCTTTGGATCCTTTGGGGCTCTTAGAACTTTATGTTTTTTTCAGAGGTTATTTTGGAGTAGGAAGCTAAAATCCTGGATAAGCCATCGCTGAGCCTGACATGTACTAGTGATGTTAAACCCTGTCCCTTTACCTTCTCTCTCTGATCATCAGTTCTTTTAATTTCCTCAATCATTTCAAATCTTCTTACTACTGTTTTTCTGTAAAACCTGAATCTCATGGCCTCTAGATATTTCTAGTGATCTCATTGATGCACCAAGCCTCTGGTCCTCATTCTGCACATGTAATTCCAACATAGGAAATTTTTCCTTTAAAGATAACATCTCATCCTTGGACAATATCTGGATAGTGTGCAGATTGTCTTCGTAGAAATATATTCTATCTACTAGCCTATCACAATTTTTTAACAGATTTTGATTGTCAAATTAAACAGTATGAATTCTTTCAGATAATTTCTGCATACCCTTTAACATGGATTGAATTTTGTCTGTAAAATTAATGTTATCCTTTTCAATGATATTATTTTTTTCAGTTAACTTTTGATTTTTGATTGTATTAATCCTGTCAGCTACCTGTTCATTATTAGTCTGTAAAGACTGTATAATTTCTAAAAGTGCCTGATTCTTGGCTCTGTTATCAAACCACTTTTAATGATATAATATGAAAAAGAAAACTAAGTCCCCATATCCAATAAATGGATGTATCAGAAAAACCATAAACCATCCATAGTATAAGCAAAAGGTTATTAGATTTCTGGATGGTAATATTGTCTGCAATTGTATAACTTTCAAGTTTATTGATCTATTTATTAATCAAATAGTTACTTTTCTATGAGATTTTGGTAAATTGTTGTAGGTGAAATATTTTTTATTGGCCAACAGCTGTCACAGTTGTAGCCACATAGTGGTGAGATGCAATCAGTGGCACGAGCAGTCCTGAGCTGCTTTGGTTCTGCACATTGGTGCCTGGTTAAATATGCTTCGCTTTGCCTGACAAATATGCTTGCTCTTAATTTACTTAAGAGGAATTAACCAATTCCGTACATGGAGAATTTTTTGGATCAAGGAACCCAGATTTCGTGAGCAGGGAACATAAAAGGGAAGCTGTGCAAGCACTGCAGAGTTGCCGTGTGCAGGAGTGCAGCAGGAAAGACGGGGTGTGGAAGCATTCCTGAGCCTTGGAAATTTCCAAGTTGCTGCACTTAGCTCCGCTATGGTAAGCTTTTTACAACAAACTGCCTAATGGGTAAATTCAAGCCAGGTGAGTAGGGGTGGGAGACTTTCTGGGCTGTGGACCTTTTGGGCCTTTTGGGCCAGTCCACTTGGTAGGGATTCACATTGGGTACAAGATGATGATGGAAGTTACAAAATAATCCCACACTAGCTCAGAATTGAGTATAATCAAAGGTTATTTATATAGGGGCAGATTCACAGATCACAGTCCTCTGCACGAACAGGCAACAGGATCCAACTCCAGTAGCTAGAAGAGAGAATAAGCTCACACTTTACGTTAGCATTTATGGTATAAGAGGCAACACCAATGTGGTCTGGTATCTTAAAGGCCATATTGGCTCAAGGGGTTTCAATAGCAAGATAGGGCTTAAGCTCTGTCTACTTAAAAACTCTGAGAAGTAGAGCAAAGAAGTGATTTTTCAGATTTGAGAGATTGAATGAACTATTTATAGTTATAGCTCCTAATTCAAGCCCAGACAGCTGTCAATATGGAGATTTATATTTCAGTCACCTGTTATTGTTAGAATGCCAAGGTTCAACATGCTGTTGACACTTACTGATTTCATGAATTAGTGTAGGTCACTTTTCTTCATAAGCCATGTCCATAAAAGGAACGCAGAGTTGGCATAGTGACAGGGTGGAAATGAAGTATGCCAAGAATTCAACACTGTGGGGAGAGCAGTGCGGTTCCACATACTTGCTGCATGTGGATGCTGAACACCACCAGCAGTGGCTAGTCCCAGTAGAAACTGTCTTTACGTGTTGAACACACATTTGTCTCATTGCAAACTGTGAACTGCTTAACAAATCATTTCATGTTGAAACAATTCTATTTGGGATATCCTGTTTTCAAATAAAACACATTATTAACTATAATTGTAGCCTACTGCTTAAATACTTGCATTATATTTTACTGGGAAAATCTGCTCTAGAACATAATGGAGGCTTATTAAATATGCCAGAAATGAAATGAAAGTAAATTGTTTCTTACAGTGTAAAATTGGGGAATTTTCTTTTATGCTAGGGGCTTTTGACACTTGGCAGAGATTTTTTTTATCGAGATGTGTTAAAAAAAAAAAACTAAGTGAGAACTAGGCGTAAAATTATACTGTTCACCAGAGGAGGGGTGAGAGTTTATAAATAGTGTCTCCTCCCTCCCTCCTTGCCCAATGTGTATCCCCGGTGAGTTATTTTTGTTGGCCACATTAAGAAGCTGACATTTGATTCATTCTCTGTGTGCTCTGCCTTAGTCATTTGAAACAGAATGGACAGCGAGCAAAAGGTCAAAGCTGTTGTTGCTGGTTGCATATATTCAGGGCCACAACTGACAACAGAGCCTTAGGAAAATCATAATATTAAATATGGCAAAATGTTTGGTCAAGATCCGGACTCAAAGAAGCCTCCACTTGCACATGATGAACCACTGCAGCAGTAACGTGTTTGTCCGTCTGCTAAAACATGGCTCCAAGGTCATACCTCGAAATGCTGGTACGTGCTTCGCTCTGCCCTGGGCTGTCATTCCTATGCCTAGATAAGTGGGATTGCTTCCAGATACATGCTCACCTCTGGTGAGCCAGAGAGAAGCAAAGAATGCATGTGGCATACAGTTTTATTTATTTATTTTTTTATAAGAAGAGAAGATAGACAGGGAGAAAATGGGAAGGAAGAAAATAATGAAGGGTACTGAGGACTGTAAACAAGTAAGTGAGAAGGGAAATAGGAAGACAAGCTCTCTTGTACAACAAAATAATAGAAATTACCTTCTTTATTCAAAAGATACAAGAGAATATCCTGCTGTGCATTCCTGTAGCTTGCTTAGGAGTAAGAGATGATGCTTATAACGCATAATAAATAATCAAAAAACTTCTCTGCCTCTCATTATGACAGTTTCTGACTATGAGGCAGACCTTCTGTTTAAACTTCAAATCAAAATTTTATCAAAATAAAATACCAGGCCCTATTTTGGCCTCTGTAAGCTCACATACAGAGAGAAACATGCATGTGTATATGAGTTAAATTAAAACTAAATGAATAAAATAAAAAGCAACTAAATAACCACCACCAGACTGGTGTTATGCCAATTTCTTTTCTCGATAATGATCATGTTTTATGTTATCATGATCTGAGAAATTGAAACAGGAACTGAAATAGAAATTTAAAGTCAGATTATCAGCCACAATCCTGCTGTAATATATGTTCTTATGTTTATGTGTGTTTTTCAGCAAATGATTACAGTAAAATTTATCTGGAGGGTTAGTTGGAATTAGCCATAGCTTACTAAGATTTATAAAATTGCCTTCTTAGTTGAGATTAACTGTATTTTTGTGACGATATAAGTAACATTTGATGTGTTCCTGTTCAAAAATCAACAAACTTATTGCTTTGTTTTGTTTGAGGAAGGCTTGCATGACTAGGCTAGCCTGTAACTCACTGTGTGGCACAAAAGTTGCTGGGAACTCATAATCTTCCTCTAACCTTCTGAGTTCTGTGATTTATAGATACAAGCATAATGTCCATCTTACTTTCAAAAGCACAAATATAAACAATATTTTCTTGTGTATTAATATTCTCAGTAACAAGTTCAGGAATGCTGGAAATGCACATAAGGTATACTTTATGAATAGAATTGTTCTAGGTGTAGTATTTTATAAGGCATTTTTAAACTTATGATTACCAAAAGAATTTCCATATTAATATATATTAATATGAATCTTTTTAAAAATGACAAAATAATATAGAAAAATTATATAATGTAGAGAAATAATAATTCGCTACTGAACCCCAAAATTATCATTGGAAGTTAGCATTTCTTCATTTTTGGTCATAATATTTACAAAAATAATTTAGAAACGGGTATTTTCTATCATTCTTAAAAGGAGCAGAAGCAGGGAGAACTTGAGCAAGGAAGTCAGAACTGTGAGGGGTGTGCCCACCCACTGAGACAGTCGGGCTGATCTAATGGGAGCTCAACAAGGCCAGCTGGACTGGGACTGATGGAGCATGTGATCAAACCAGACTCTCTTAATGTGGCTGACAATGAGGGCTGACTGAGAAGCCAACGACAATGACACTGGGTTTTGATTCTACTGCATTTACTGGCTTTGTGGGAGCCTAGTCTGTTTGGATGCACACCTTCCTAGACCTGGATGGAGAGGGACTTCCCACAGAGTAGGGAACCCTGACTGCTCTTTGGACTGGAGAGGGAGGGGGACAGGGAATGAGGGGAGGGGAATGGAAATAGAAAAAGGGGAGGAGGTGGAAATTTTTAATAAAAAATAAAATAAAATAAAAAAGTATATTTGTTAGACTATAGAATACAAATTTGATGAAAATTATCCAATTGTCTTTAAAAGACATTAACAAAAGTATAAGAATGTATGATCCTAACATGACTACTAAATCCCTTATAATTGTTTCCTTGGCATTTGGAAAATAAAATGCCTGGGGGTGTAGGTCAGTGGTAGATTCATGCCTTACACACTAGTCTCTAGCTTCAATAACCTAGGGTCAAAAAAGAAGCTCCTTTTTTTATGTTTATCTAGAAACATAAGAAGTTCCTCCACTTCCTGTAGTCATCCTTTACCAGAGTGATATACTTTTCTAGATGACACAAAAGTATTGCCTAGCACCCAGAATTTGTACTAGGGCTCTTTCTTTGTGTTGTATATGTTATAAATCTGGCCAGGTCCGTATCAGTACTGCATCATACAAAACACTTTCAATGACCTAAAATCCTCTTTGCTACTCTTATTAATTACTTTTTTTTCTCAACTAGTGGCAGTCACTTAAAAATATTCATCTTCTTTTCTAGACTGTAACATTATAGGAACAACACAGGATGCAGCCTTTTCAGATTCTTCTCTTTTAGTCATAAGCATCTAAGATTTACCCGGACATCGTATAACACTAAATTATATAAGTTATTTGATATATTTAAAAATTTAAAATTTTTGGTTTTAAATATTCCTGTAATCTTTTCCCTTCTGTTGTTTATAAAAATTGTAATTAGTTTTTAAGATTGTGATGAATTTTAGATTAAAAGGAGAACTGAATTTTTGAACCATTTAGGCCTCTTATTGAAAAATGTCATCATGGTCACTCATTTATTGATATGCTCAGTTACATTTTAACATTGTTCTCATTTTGTACATTTCTTATTGTGAATTTTACTGAGTATTGCAAATTTAGGGATCTTGAACAAGATTGTCAATTATTATCTTTTTAAATAGTTTTGACTGATATGCCATGAATCACACTGCCTTTAAAAGACCGATCTTGCTTTTGAAATCTTTGCTGAACTCTCATGAATTTTGTTTTGTGTACAGAATCTTACCTTAGGAAATAGAGGAAATATAAGACATACTTCATACTTTCATATTTCTCATTCTGCTAGAGTGAGTCTGATGAACAGTGAGAATTTAACATGTTTCACACTGGTGAGAAATCTTTTCATGCTTTGCCGTTTTATACCTTCACCATCATACACAGTCATTTCTGTAGTAGAAATCTCAAGATCTCACCTTTTATAATATAGTAAAGACAAAACTCGTTGGTTCCTGGCTGCTCTCTTCTTGATCGTCTCTGCTGCCCAGAACCAAAATAATCACACAGAAACTGTATTAATCAAATCACTGCTTGGCCCAATAGCTCTAGCTTCTTATTAGCTAATTCTTACATATTAATTACATAACCCATTTCTAGTAATCTGTATATTTCCATGTGGCTGTGGCTTACCAGGTAAAGTTCTGTCTGGCTCCAGAGGGGCTACATGGCTTCTCCCTGACTGCCCTTTTTTCTCCCATCATTCACTTTAGTTTTCCACACCTAACTAAGTTTTTCCCTGCTATAGGTCCAAAGCAGTTTTTTATTCATAAATGGTAATCACAGCATACAGAGAGAAATCCACATCATTATAATGTAAAGATTTAATGAAAAGGGGGCCAAAATAAAACCACTGCAATGGTTATAATGATAAACAGGTGAAATGATAGCTGTGAAGTTATGTTGTCACCAGGAGCAATTAACAGAGAATCATAATTGACTCTTCTTTAAATAATAAAAGGTAAAATTTTAAACATAAGAGAAGTCCAGAAGCAACTGTTGAAAAGGTTTCATTTTATGTCCATTCACAACTTTCCCAGTTGGCAGGCTTTTTACATCAAAACAGTGACCTTTCTGTGATTTTTGTTTTCTCCTTCACTTCCAACATTGCCAAAAGAGTCTTTGTTGGTTAGGTTTATATCAACTTGATACAACTAGAGTCAGTTTGGAAGTAGTAATCTCAGTTTAGTTAATTCCGCCATACAAAAGACCTATAGTAACATCTATGGCTAATTAATTTGGTTAATTAATTCTTGATAATGGTTCATGTGGGATGGTCAAGATGACTATTGGCAGTGAAGCCCTGGATCAATGGTTCTGTATGGTATAAAAAGGAAACTGAGCAAGTTCAGAGAAAAAACTCAGCAAGCAATACTCACCTATGGCATGTATCTTCAGATTCCTACAGTGTGTTCCTATCCTGAGGTCTTTTAGTTATAGACTATGATAGAGAGTTGTAAGATGAAATAAATTCTTTCCTCATGTCAGTAGAAACTTTTTTTTTTTTTTTGTTTTTTTTGGATTTTTCGAGACAGGGTTTCTCTGTGCGTCCGTCAGTAGAAACTTAAGTGAGATATAGGTTGTTTCCAGAGAGTAGAATGTTACTCTGAAAGACCTGAACATGTGTTGTGTGTGTTGGGGGCGGGTATAGAAGGAGTATGGAACTTTGAGCTAAAAAAGCCACAGAAGGCCTTGAGATTAATGGACTATTTGGAAACTTGGAAGATAAGGCTACAAGCAATACAAATTATGGAGGCCATGCTTATGAAATATCAGAGAGAAACAAATACTATAAGGACCATTTATGTGATATTTAGAGTTAAGAGTCTATAGTCCTGGTCAGCAGGAGTTGAAGAATTAGTTGTCATTAACAGGAGATGAGAAAATCCATAGTGAAATCTTTGCTATGGCAATACTGGTTAGATAGGGGTAAAGAATGAGATGTTATTAAGAAGAGACCAGCATAAAGGTAAAATCTTCTAGGAACTATTTTTAGATTTAGCAAACAGAAATTGTTCTCAATAGGGATCAAGCCTGTATCCTATGACAGGAGCCAAATTTGGTAATATGTATGAGTTTCCCAGGCAGCAGAGGCTTGGCACTGTGACAAACAGGGAGAGGCTATTTGTGATGGTCCAACCTCAGCTGCAGAGCATATCTCAGGCTTAAAGTTCCTGGAAAGAAATTGAGGTTTGACACCATATAGCAGGGTCAGAATCCCTGAAGAGAGGTCAGGAGAGTCCATTAGTGAGTGTGCAGCCTCAGTTGCAGGGGAGACCACAGCATACTGGTGATATAAATACCATGGATGACCACAAAAGACAGCAGCAGATGCGGAGTGAAGCTGGCCCGAGCCTATTAGTCATGCACCTGTGTTGTTTGCGGCAGAGCCAGACAAGAGGAGCAGTCCAGGCCCTTTGGAGACTAGAGGATCATAAGTCACAGCCATCTGACACTGAGCTTCGCACTGCTGGAATTTTGTTTTGTTTTGACTATAACTGTGTTTTGCCCTTCCCTCTCAGAGTGGGAAAGTACTTAACTTGCTCTCCCCAAGTACCAGGAGCCAACAAACTTACAGTTAAGCAACTTTGGAATATTAGAAAGATTTTAGATATTTTATTGAGACTGAACTTTTAAGGAGACCTTGGATTTTTAAAGACTGCACTTTTAAAAAGGAAAGTCTATGAATTAATAGTGTTTGCATGTCAGTTTGACAAAGGGTCAATTGTGTTAGTTCTATGCAAACTTGACACAAACTTGAATCATTTCAGAAGAGAGACTCAACTTAGAAAACACCTCCATAAGACTGGTTTACAGGAGCTGGGAAAACGGCTTGTTGGTTAAGAGAACTGGCTGTTCTTCCAGAGTACTCTGGTTCAATTCTCAGCACTCACACTCTTCAACATCTGTAACTTGTTTCAGGGGATCCAACAACATCTTCTGGCCTCTGTAAGCCATAGGCATGCATGGGATGCAGACGTATATGTAGGCAAAACACCCATATTCATGAAATATATTTTTAAGATTGGCCTATAGGTAAGTCTATTGTTTTTTTTTTTTTTTGATTAATGATAGATGTGGGAGGGTCTAGCCAATTCTAGGTGGTGTCATCCCTGAGCTGAGATTATGAGCTGTATAAGTATGCAGGTTGAACAAGCAATGAGGAATAAGTAAGTGCCAGCCTTCTATAACTTTTTTAGTTACTGCCTTGAGTTCCTGCTCTGACTTCCCATAGTGGTATAATATGACATCTTAAACAGTTACAATTACCATTGCTGTACATGCCTTTCCTCCCATAGTTCGTTGTGTCTCCCACCATAATGTTTTCTCTTTCTGTAATTTTTCAAACCTTTGGTGTCTGACTTCTTTCACTGAGCATATAGTTCTGATATTTTTCTGTGCTATGCTGTTGATCAGCACTTCACTATTTTATAAGTCGGATGATATATTGTTAAATAGACAGACCATGCTTTTTTATATAGGCATCCACTGAAAAACATCTGGGGAATTTTTACTTTTTTAACAATTATATTAATTTCTGTGAACATTTGTCTATGAAAATTTTTGGAGTATTTATTTAAAGGTTTTTTTGATTTTTTGAGAATGTACTTATGAGGGGAATTATTGGGTCATGTGGTAGATAATTATAGATTTGACTTTTTGAGAAACCACCAAATTATTGTTCATAGTGACTGAACATATTACATTCCTTCTTGCAATATATGAAGTTAAAATTTCTCCACATTCTCACCAACAATTACATATTTTTTTAAAAAAAACTACTGAGTAGCCCTGAGGTTCTATAATATTATAGTTTTGATTTGTAGTTACCTAATGATTTATGATGCTAATACATTTCTTGAGGCTTAGTAATCATTAGTATATGGGCTATTTTAATTTCTTAAGATTATAATATGATTATATCATTTCCCCCTTCTATTTTCTCTCTCCAAATTGTCCCACTTACCCCTTTGATCTCTTCAAAATTCATGGTCTCTTTTTCTTTGTTGATATGTTTCTCTCTCTCTCTCTCTCTCTCTCTCTGTCTTTTCTTTGTCTCTCTTTCTCTCTCTCTCTTTCTCTGGGTGTATTTGTGTGTACTCCTACTCAGACTGTAAAATGTTACTTTAATGTTTTCAGGGATTATTTTAATAGTTTCTTTTAATTAAGACTGGGTGCTGCTCTTACCTCAGATCTACCAAAAATTATCTATTGACTTTTGAAAAATAAAAAGCAAAAAACCCCTCTCTCCTACATGCCTTGATGACAAAGAAATTGTAAACTATTTACCAGTTTGTTTGGTAGTTAGATGCTTGTCTGTCTTAGAGAGAATACCTTTGATTTTTTGCTTAGTTCTCATTTAGAACCTAAGGCTCAATAAGGAGATCCAGCCTCCAAGACAGAATGGAGGTAACTGCATTTTCCATGTGTTGAGAAACACATCTTTCCTAATAAAAAATTGATGGACATACCCTTGACCAAGAGGTTTGCATTTTGGATATATATCTAAAAGAAATAGACTGGAATATGATGGAAATAAACTTTACATGTAAAAGTAGCTCCTAGAGCATTTTTTCTACTACCAGACTAAGAACAACTAATTTTCCATGTTAATGAAACACAAGTTTCCACATGAAAATGTTTAAATGATAAATGAAAGTAGCAAATGGTAACTTTGTAAACACAGTGTGGCTACAATAACAGATTAAATATTCATCACCAAAAATGTCTTGGTATACAAGTATTTCAGATTTCAGAGTGTTTCCCCAAATTTGGAAATAAATTCTTTGAGTTTACTAACTGAATGTCTTTAAACTGAAAACTTAAGATAAAAATTTCTCTGAAATACAAAATCTTCTAAGGACTGAAATTTCTGAACATTTTTACACTAAACTATTTTAGATGTCAGAGTCTTTCAGATTTTGGGTTCATGAATCAGATGGTCAATCTATATTCAATATCCATGTTGTGCGACATTCATCCCATGAAGATCTAATATAAGGATGCCACCTAAGTTCAACTTGGTTAACCAATTAATTTAATAGCATGATTTACAGCAATATGGGTCAGGGGTTACTTATAGGAATAGAATCTACTCAAAGACAGCTGCACCATTAAAAGCCCATCCCAATACTGGTAAAAACTGATAAAATCTGGAGAATAGAAGCCCACTGCATGACTTGTAGGTAGCTTGACAGGTTAGAGAATGTCTCTTCCAGGTATCCCAGTCAGTCTGATCCTTTTCCAGACAGTTTAACTGATCCTTCTCTTTCAGTGAACTCAGTTGTTCTGAGAGTTTTCTCAGCACAACTTGTCTTTACTTTTCTTTACTTGTCTAGGAGCTTCTTTAAACTGTTTAGTCATACATAATCTTGGGGAAGGAGAGACCTCAGTTTCAGAGATTTTTTTTGAAGGTTTAGAATTGTTTAGTTACTGAGTCATACTGAGCACCCTTTAGACCAGCAGTTCTCAACCTGTGGGTTGTGACCCCAAGGAGTTGCATGTCAGATATTTACATTACCATTCACAGCAGTGGCAAAATTACAGTTATGAATTAGCAAGAGAATAACTTTATGATTGAGGGTCACCACCATAAGTGGAACTATACTAAAAGGTCATGGCATTATGAAGGTTGAGAATGCCTGCTTCGGACCATTCTGAGTCTTAAGAAGCTGCTGTCCAAGGTATAATGTTTTAACTTTGAGAAAATTTCAATACAAATCCATAAAGCTATCACAAAATTGTAATAGAATGAAGACTAGAAAATATGACACAGAAGTATAATGTGATTATTAGTGAACAGTAGAATCTATAATTTTACTCTAGTGTTTTCTTAAAAATACTATATTGTGCTATAGTATTGAATACTGCAATATTTCACTCATAATTATAATGTATATCTGAATTATACCAACATTATTTTTAAAAACCTGTCTATAGTTGGAGGTCACAGACCAGGGTCAAAATCTTAAAGGTACTTGCAACTTTTGATCACTGTTTTTTTTTTTTTTTAGGTTTATCTTGTTGAGCCAAAATTTATAGAATAATGTCTGTTGTTAAACCAATTTTGTATAAAGTGAACATTCCACAGAACAATTGCATGCATACTTTGAGCTCTATATGTTTCTATGTCCATTATTTTGTGAATTAAGAATGTCTGAAATATAAAATTTATAAAATAATGTTTCTTTCCAGGTGCTCCACTACCTAAAGTGGATGTTTCTGAACCCTTGATTGCCAACTCAGAAGAGAATGGAACTCAGTGGGCAGATCCTCTGAGTGAAGAGGAAGAGAGAGTAGAAGAAGACAGCTTGACCATCTCTGAACTAGCATACAGTCCCAGTGCCAGGCTGTTCCATACGCCAGTGGATGACGATGAAATCGATGTGCTCTTTGACTGTTCATCTAGGCTCAAGTTAGAAAGAGAAGATACAGATTCCTTTGAGGAACTGGAAGCAGATGAAAATGCCTTTTTGATGGCTGAAGAGGAGGAGCTGAAGGAAACTCGAAAGGCTATGTCATGGAGTTACTCCATCCTGACCGGCCGTATATGGGTCAACCCTATAGTCAAGTGTTGCACCAGGCTCCTTGTGGTGGGCCTGGGACTGCTGCTGTTTGTATTTCCCCTGATCCTCCTCCTTTTGGAGTCAGGTATTGATCTCTCTTTCTTATGCAAAAACCAGAATTTGAGCAGTTTCACTATGAATACTACTGTCCCCTGAAGGAGTGGTGTCTCGGAATGCCAACATCTTTGGATACTTGTGAGGAGTGGCGGGCTGCGTCCCACCACCCCAGCTCCTGGCCACGTGGCTAGCTTTACCCAAAATAATTACATGGAAACTGTATTCTTTTAAACACTGCCTGGCCCATTAGTTCCAGCCTCTTATTGGTTAGCTCTTACATATTGATCTAACCCATTTCTAATAATCTGTGTAACACCACAAGGTGGCTTACCAGGAAAGATCTTAACCTGCATCTGTCTGGAGTGGGAGAATCATGGCGACTCACTGACTTGGCTTCTTTCTCCCAGCATTCTGTCTGTCTACTCCACTTACCTAATTTTCTGTCCTATCAGGGCCAAGGCAGTCTCTTTATTTAACCAATGAAATTAACACAAAACAGAAGACTCTCCCCCATCAGATACTTATTGAGATTCCCTGATAAGAATAAAGGTTATATTAAATATTAATATTATTTATTTTCAGCAGATTCCATGTTCCACATAGTCATGGGTTTGTATGTCAAACCTTTAAGTTGGCTTTCTGTACTTCTATATCCTTAATATCAGTTTAAATCAAATAAGGTTATTTTGTTTATATATCAGAAAGGTAGCCATTAAGAAACCAAATATATCTATTTTTATTGTAGTATAGACATTATTCTTATCCTACATCAGAGCAAATTAAGTTTTTCTGTTTCTTTGTCATTGTTAG